GCGGTTAGCGCGCTCGCGCGCTCGCGCGCCTCACTGCGCTTTTACGAACCCGACGACCCGAGTTCGATTCCTGCTCACGGGGGGCACCAGCGGCGGGCGGCGATTATCTGAACCGGTTCCTTGGTCGGCTCGGCCTCAAGTGAGTTAGCCCGGTGTGGTGTGTAGTAAACATCGCCACTGGGGAGACAAAGGTGGCCGGGCGTTATGCCGCCCAGTCGCCCACCTCGTGTGCCGTGCTGGCCTTCATAGGCGCTGCTCGCTAACGGCACTCGACCGTGCAGCCTTTTAAGGCCTCACGGGGGATCTTTGTCTCTTGTTTAAAGTTCGCGCATATGTGTGTCAGCGTGTGAGGATGCGTGTACATGTCGCAATTGCTTCTGCGTGCGTGATCATGTACGCGTGTTTTGCGTGTGCGCGTGTGGGGAGCGGTAGTGCGGTGATTAGCGCGCTGCGCTACGAATCCGGCGACCCGAGTTCGATAGCGGGGGGCGACCAATCGGTTCGGCGAAAATTTGAATCGGTTTTCCCCCTAGGTCGACTCAGCCTGAAATTAGTACCTGGCGTTGCGTGTAAATATCAGCGCGATCCTGGTCACCCACCGCCTCATCTGCAGGCCTTCGTAGCTGCCCGCTAGCAGCACTTGCCTCAACAGTCTGTTAAGGCTACAGGGGGGATCTTTGTCATTGTTTGTGCGGCTGGGGGGTTGGGGGTGGAGCCAGGAGGCTGAGTGCTTGGCCTTGAGTCTCAGATGTTGTTCCACACACACACACGGCAACACACGCGCACACACAAAGGTAAAGATGCCCCGGATTGCCTTTCACAGACTGAAGGGGCAAGTGATGTTAGTCAGCAACCAATGAAGGCTGAGTGGCAAGCACTACATCCGGCCGCCTTTGTCTCACCAGTGGCGATGTTTACACACTCATTTAAGGCTGAGTCCACCACGGGGAGGCCCAGCACCGGTTCAATACGTACGGAAGCACATGCGCTATGTACACACATTTTTACACGCACAGACTCGCGTAGACATACGTAGACACACACACGCGTGCACGCTAAAAACATACACGGTCAATCCATCGCGCGCTTTCAGATGCGCTTCTGCGGCCGTCTGGAACGCTCTTCCTTCCGAAATCAGGAAGCCACTGGAGCTATGGACTTTTTAAAAATAATCTCGATTGACCAACTCATTTCTTTAGAACTGCTTATAGCGTTCAATTTGTTGTCCTTCCGCCGCACCTCCGATTAGCACAGTTGGCTCCATAATGTGCGAAAGAAGTTCAGCATGCATACATACAAACAAACGCACACGGAAGCGCACTCGCACACAACATGTGTAAAGGAGTTCCAGCCGGATGAGTCTTGAACTTCATCCTCGTGCCGTCTTTCCCGCGCAGCGCGTCACACATCAGGAAGTCCGTTCAAGCGCTCCGAGAACCCCCTTCTTATCCTCCCCTTTCTAGTCTCTTTACCACCCTTTCCCGAACTTTCCACGACTCTCGACCAATCCCCCTCTTCGGTTCCCCCCCCGCCCCCGTAACGGTCTCCCAACCGACCCCTCGTCTCCGTTTAGTTTTCCCTGACGACCAATCCGATTTGAGCGGCTCTCCAAATTCAAATCCGATTGGGCGCGCCGCCCTACGCCTTTGGTGGCCCCTCGCCCAATGAGAGTCGAGCGCGCCCTTCGAACTCACGAGGCGAGTGGCTGGGTCCACGCCCGGCCACCTTTGTCTCCCTCGTGGCGATGTCGACCGAGGGGAAGCGATAATCGAACTCGTGGTCGTCAGCTTTGTAGCGCAGCGCGCCAATCGCTGCACTGGCGCTCTCCACACGCAACTGGCACACACAGAGACGAGACGGGCACACAGAGACGAGTCGTGCACACACACACAGACACACACACAGACACACACAGACACAGACACACACACACAGACACACACAGACACACACACACAGACGAGTCGGGCACACAGACACACACACACAGACACACACACACAGACACACACAGACACAGACACACACACACAGACACACACAGACACACACACACAGAGATGAGTCGGACACACACACACAGAGATGAGTCGGACACACACACTCGTGCGTGCGTAGTCGCGAGTTCGGCAGACTCTGCTTGCATCAGGAATATGTGTTAAAACGAACGAAAGTTTACATGCGTACAATGTACACGAGGCGTATATACGCAGCGCCTAAAGCTACCGTCCACACTACCGAACCCCGAGTGCCTGTGACCCCGCCGCTCCTTACAGCTCCTCCTCGGATTCCCCCCACCCCCCTCTATCTCTCTGCCCCGTGATCCGTCACACCCACGCGCGCCCAGCGGGGCGATGCCCCGTCAAGATCGCAACATCTCTATCGGACTCCTCACCTAACGAGGCGTAATCACTTATCTCCCCTGCCAGCGCTTCTCTCGGCACGCTGCGAAGATGTTAACTACCTCTCCCGGTGTGCAGGAGGTCGTGGGTTCGATCCCGACGACTGCTGCTGTGTATTTGGAGTTTTGCGGTGTTTTCTCTCTCTCTCTCTCCCCGTGGTCGCGTGGATTTTTATCCGGGTCCTCCGGTTTTTACCCCCCGTATTTATAATCAACATCACACGTTTAGAGTATTTGGCTGCAATACATTTCCACGTGACGGTAAGCCACTTTCGTTGAGCCATCATTTGTGATAGCCAGGTCGCTTCTGAAAAAGGGCTACGTAGCTCAGTGGGCCTTCCCTGGTAAAATAAAAATAGTTAAAAGTGGACTACTTTGTAGTAATCCACTATAATGCATGAGTAATCCACTCATGCATTATACAATTTGCAAGGTTATCGGCGATTTTATATCTGTGCTTGTATGTGCGTATGATGTCTGCACGCGGTAGTGTAGCGGTTAGCGCGCTCCGCTATGCTCCTCGTGAACCAAGTTCAATTCCCGGTGCTGGGCCTCTCCTACTCAGCCTCCATTGAGTACCTGGTGTGCTGTGTAAAACGTCGGCACTCGGGAGACAAAGGCGGCCGGGCGTGGTGCTGGCCACCCACCCCCTTCGTGTGCCATGCCGGCCTCCGTAGATGCTCGCTTAACAGCGTCTGTCCCCACAGTCTGTTAAGGTTATCAGGGGCATCTGTGTCTTTTTGTATGGATCGAACTACAAAACAGATTCAAAGATCGCGCATATAGCCTTAACGGACTTTTAGGGCAAGTGCTGTGAGCGAGTGGCACCTAGGAGGGTTGACACGGCACACGAAGGGGCGAGTGGCCAGCACCACGCCCGGACGCCTTTGTCTCCCGAGTGCCGACGTTTTCACACCACATCAGGTGCTCATTTTGAGGCCGAGTCGATCTAGGGGAGGGAGGCCCACAACCGGTTCAGATAATCGTCGGCGCTGTTGCCCGTGACCGGGAATCGAACTCGGGGCAGCACAGCTCGCTAACCGCTACGCTATCACTGCAAAGGCAAAGTTCCCCCGTGTAGCCTCAGCAGGCTGTTGGAGCAGGTGCTGTTAGCGAGCAGCGCCCGGGGGAGGACGGCGCGGCACACGCGGACGCGTCAGTGGCCAGCGCCACGCCCGACACAACACGCACACGCACGCACGCACGTGCACGCAGTCATGCGTGTGGCCGACACTTAACCACTTATTTATTGAGCTTCGTACACACACACACAAATACATATATGCAATAACCTGCTCGTCGGCCGAGTACAAGCGGTCGCGGCGAGCCGCATCGATCGGCGGTGGGAGATCGATGCCAAAGAGGGGGTTGGGGGGGGGGGGCTTCCTTTTGCCACGTGATGCTCCGGTTCGGGGCGTCATCACAATAATGATCGTTGTCGTCCTCGTCGCATTACACGCGGCCGGGCGGGAGGGCGAGCGAGCCAGCCGCCTGTGTAATGACCAAATTACTTGACTTGGCGTTGGGGTGAGGGGGGGGTCTGAACTCGAGAAGGGGGGCGGGTTAAGGGGGGGGGGGGTAGCTGAAAGGAGGGGGGAGGGTGGCTGATACACATGCACGCACGTACGTACGCACGCACGCGCGGGTAAACGCACGCAGACGCGAGCAGGGAGATGCTTTTACAGGAAGCGTTGAACGCCTAGATTTGGGTGCGGAGCGTTGGTGCGGTGGCAGTGCACGTGCCTCGCAGCAAGGAGAGGCGGGCCCGGGTTCGATTTGCGATTCGGGTCGCCTATCTGCGTTGGGTTTGTGTGCGTTCTCCCTCTCTGTTCGGCAGAGTGTGAGAGTGTGTGTGGCTGTCAGGGCATGTGCTCGCAAACAGCACGTGCCTCAACAGTCTGTTAAGCCAATGTTGGGGATCTTTGTCTTTGTGTACGGGTGCGAGTGGGGTAGTGGTTAGCGCGCTGCGCTACAAACACAGCGACTCGAGTTCGATTCCCGCTCACTGGCACCAGCACCAGTGACGATTAGCTGAACCGGTCCTGGGTCTCTCCTAAGTCGACTCAGCCTCAAATGAGTACCCCTGGCGCGGTGTGTAAACATCGCAGCGAGGGAGACCAAGGCGGGCCAAGCCCGGTGCTGGCCACCCACCCCTTCGTGTGTGACTTGCCGGCCTGCATAGATGCTCCTCGCTAACAGCACTTGCCCCAGCAGTCTGTTTTATTTTATTTTACCAGATAAAGCCAACTGTGCTATATTGCTCGTTTTTCAGAAGCGACCTGGCCACAAATAATAGCTGAAGAAAATTGCTTATCACGTGAAAATTTATACGGGCCAAATACTCTAAACGCGTGTTTCTAAATATGGAGGGAAAAGTCGGAGGACCCGGAGAAAAATCCACGCGACCACGGGGAGAGAGAGAGAGAGACACGCAAACTCCAAATATACAGCAGGCGTCAGGGTCGGGATCGAACCCACAACCTCTTGCATACCAGGCAAGGGAGTTAACCTCTTGCCACCATGGCGGATCTTTGTCTTTACCTGTGTGTGTGTGTGCATGTGTGTGTGTGTGCGTGCATGCGGTACTTTGGTTCCACAGTCCCTGGCGTGCCACGCAAGCCCTGGGTGCTGGGCAGGATCACCGAGAAGGAGTACTGCCAGGCCAAGAAGGTGAACTCTCACCCCGCACACGTGATAGACGTTGTCTAGACATCTCCCCCTCCCCTCCCCAGTGCTCACCACTGAACTCTCACCCCGCACACGTGATAGACGTTGTCTAGACATCTCCTCCTCCCCCTCCCCTCCCCAGTGCTCACCACTAAGTCCCACATGCGGCTCTTGAAATGTTGAGTTTTGTACCGATTTCGCGTTTTTTTTAGTTTCCTACCCCTGCGCGTGGAATTACGATGGGCGATCTGTGTGCATATCTCTGGATGGCTTCTGATCTGTGCAGATATCTGGCTGTCTATTTGAATGGTTTCTGACTTGAGCAGATATTTGGCTGTCTATTTCATTGGCCTCTGACCTGTGCAGATACCTGGCTGTCTATTTGAATGGCCTCTGACTTGAGTGGAAATATTTGGCAATCTGAATGGCCTCTGACCTGTGCGGATATCTGGCTCTTTATCTGAATGGCCTCTGACCTGTCCGGATATCAGGCTGTCTATCTGAAATGGCCTCTGACCTGTCTGGATATCTGGCTGTCTATCTGAATGGCCCTTTGACCTGTGTTGATATCTGGCTGTCTATCTGAAAGGCCTCTGATCTGTGTGGCTATCTGGCTGTCTATCTGCATGGCCTATGACCTGTGTGGATATCTGGCCGTCTATCTGCATAGCCTCTTACCTGTGTGGATATCTGGCTGGCTATCTGAATGGCCTCTGACCTGTGTGGATATCTGGCTGTCTATCTGAATGGCCCTCTGACCTGTGTGGATTTCTGGCTGTCTATCTGCATGGCCTCTGACCTGTGTGGATATCCGGCTGTCTATCTGCATGGCCTCTGACTTGAGAGAATATCCGTCTGCCTGAATGGCCTCTGACCTGTGTGGATATCTGGCAGTCCAGTCACCGGCTAGACAACTCTCGCGGACGTTCCCTGCTCCCGCTCTCTCATCTGCCTGCGACGGTGCTGGTGGGCGTTTGTGATGGGGGATGGTGTGGTGTGGGTGCTTCGCCCTCTAGAGCTATTGATCATGCGCGGGGGTGGACCGGGGGGGGGGTTTGGCAGGTGGAGTGGGAGGGGGGAAAGTGCCCAGTGACCGCGATTAAAAGGAACAGCGCGATGGAGCTCGTGGGCCCGTGACACATCGTGGGTTTTACGGAGCCGACCGCACGGTCCTCTTTGCGGTCTCTTTGGTGGTGGTGGTGGTGGTTGTTGTTGTTTGTTGTTGTTGTTGTGGGCGATGGGGCGTTCCCTTACGGCATTGGTCAGCCCCCGCCGGCCGTGAACATCGGAAAGTCAATCGAGTTCAGAGCGGCAGCGGCTTTTTGAACGAACCGGCCGCCGGCCGCCAAACTACCCCCTTGCTGTACTGCCCCGTGCACGATTCGTCTCCCGTGTGGACCGCTTTACAGTCGATCGCCGGGGGTCATGCGTCGGAGGTCTCTGCGTGTGTGGTGGGGGCGGGGGTGGGGGGAGCCTGTGGCGTTGTGAACCCTGGCGAACCGAGTTCGATTCCCCCATAATAGAGGTTTTTTTGGGTCAGATCGCGTCAATATATAAATGTTGTGTCGTTAAAACCCGCCACCACCCGACACGGCCAACTAGTAAGGGTTGTCACGCGAACAGAACGTGGCCAATTCGTCACTGGTACAGCACTAACCGGTGTGCTGGAGAGCCAAGCCACAACATTTACAATCTGCAGTACGACGTTTCGACAGTAATTACAACCAGCTTCATCAGGCGACAGCCAGATTCCCCCGCTCGCACCCACCAATGCCTTGCTGGCAATTTTCTCAACCGGTCTTGGACATCCGCTAGGTCGACTCGGCCTCAAATGAGTACCCGATGTGTACTGGGGAGACAAAGGTGGCCGGCACGTGGTGTGGGCCACACCACCCCGCTCGTGTGCCGTGTCCGGCCTTCACAGGTGCTGTTCGGTAACAGCCCTTGCCCCAACAGTCTGTTCAAGTCTTTGTGTTCGTGCATGTATGTCGATTCAAGTTCATTTAGTTTATCCAGGCGAGAAGAGAGCACGATGAGTTTCATGAGCAAGAGTCACCTGGGAGTGTACGTACATGCGTGTTAATGTATGGACGTATGTAGATGTGTGTATATATGTATGTATGCATGTGTGTACATACATATCTGTGCATGTATGTATCTGTGTATGTCCGTACATGTGTATGTACTGGGTATGCACGTACGTATGTGTGTACATATCTGTGCGGGTGCGTGCGCGTTCATATGCGTACGTGTGCACGATGCGTGCGTGCACATACTTGTGCATGTACACGCGCGTGCGCGTGCGCGTGCGTGTGTGCGTGTCCATTACGTTTCCACCCCTAGGCCCAAAACCGCTTCCGCGTCCCGGTGGGGACCAAGTTCTACCGGGTCAAGGCCGAGCCGTGGGGCCGCCGGAGCTCCGTCGGGCGGTCCACGCCGCCACATCCACCGCCACCGCAACCGCCACAGGCGGACGCGGCCTCGGGCTCCTCGCTCGCTGGGCCCACCGTCGGCGGCGGCCCTGGGGCGGACGACTTCCCCGCCCTAGGGGGCCACCCCCTCCCCTAGGGCGGCCACCACCTCCTCCTGCCCTCGCCGCCACCGCCATCGCCTCGCCTCCTCCCCGGCCCGCGAGCCCCGCGTGTGGCCCAGGTGCGGGCCGTGAAGGTCACGACCGGCCCCCTGTCCGGTTGTCGCGGTCGAGATTTATTTTTGGTGGAATTGTCAAATCGGCGGGTCGGGGGGAGGTGGTGGGTCCAGAGTCGGTGTCTTCACGGATGCCAGGCTTGTGCCGTCACTTCCTTCCGTCTGCCGGATCTCGCGACGGCGACGGCGATGGCGAAGTCCCACGTTGTGCTACGCTTCGTCTGGATCTCTGGGAGTTCCGTGCATCGCACCTCGTCGCTCGTTCGGATTGACAGCTTGTCGATCGTAATCGCAACCTTCCCCTTCCCCCCCCCACCCCGTGTTGGATTGGTCAAAAGTCGTTTGGCGGGCACTTTCCAATTGGCTAAACTGAGTCCCCGAAACCTCCCCCCCCCCCCCCCCCCCTCCTGTGGGCTCGGGCTCCACCCCCCAAAGCTTCAAGCTGAGACGAACAGAATGGGAACGTATTCCGGAATCGATTTATATACGTTAAAAAAAATAATCATCATGAGGCGTCCGGCTTTTACTTTATTTTGCATGAGCGTCTGCGGGCATGCTCGCGCACGTGTGCATGTGTGCTCTATATGCACGTGCGTCCACACGCGTACGTGCGCGCGTGTCAATCCCTAGGCCCAATCCTGGAATTGATTCCCAAATCGTTTTTATTTTTCTAAATCCGTTGATTGAGATTGTCCTCCGCAAAAAAACAAAATGAAGCGAAGCCGTCTTAACTATCGAGCGAACGCGTGAATGCACAACTGAACAAGCATCTCGTTAATTTAACTTCGTAAAAGTATTGTTCGATCAGGGGTGCGACGATTACCCTCATCCCCAGCAATCCGACGATCCAGGGTCCGCGGTTTGATTCCAGGTACACGGTATTTTTTTCATATGTGTTTTTTCCCGCCATGAATTGCTAGCACATCCGGTGGCTGCAGGGGGGTTTGCATGAACGCGCCACCCGTGCCGACAGCTCACAACCCGTGGTTTCGCGCGCGCGCGATGCCATGCCATTGAGATGTCGTAACATCCCGGGTCGTGTAAAGCGACTGCAGCATGTGGGCAAGGCCAAGCCGAGGCAAGGGTCACAACAAGGGTCACAACAAGGGTTATAACAAGAGAAGAAGTGGCTCTGTGGGATCTAAGCCAGTGGTCAGCATCCTCTGAGTTGACATAGCCATTGTGAATCTCCCCACCCCCCCCCCCTCCCTCCCAAGACAGACCTTGTCCCAGGGGTACGAAGCCAGGTTCTTTCCACTGCTGGCTCAGCGACTCTTCACGTGGCCGTTACATGAACCTCCTGAAAATATTCATGAAGAAAACAATCCAGACCCGAGGGGGCTCTGACCAAGGATATGGAGCCTCTCTCCGGCATTGCCATTATGAACCCGCCGGGAGAGAGAGAGAGAGAAAGAGAGACACGGGAGAGAGATTCGGGAGAGACAGGGCCGTTGCGAACCCCTCTGTGTGTGTGTGTGTGGGGGAGAGAGAGAGAGAGACACGGGAGAGAGATTCGGGAGAGACAGGGCCGTTGCGAACCCCTCTGTGTGTGTGTGGGGGAGAGAGAGAGAGAGAGAGACGCGCGTGACCACAGAGGACATCAATTCGTGGGCAGAAAATATAAAGAGAATCCATCTGGCAAGATGGAACAAGCGCCAGAGATTGTGGCGTGCGTGCACCATGCACGCCACCCGCACCACACACGCGCGCTCCGTCCTGCACACAAATTGCGGGACGGATCTCAGCCGCCGCATCCTCCGCAGCCAGAACGGTGCCACGCCTCTCCCCTGCCTCCCTCCGTCGGTCCTGAGCTAGCAGTGGAAATTCCATATTACCGTGACATGACGTGACCCCTCTCCTCCCCCCCCCCCCCCCAATTCTGCTCGAGTTGATATTCGGAAAGAAAGTGAGAGAAACCCTGGCTCGTGAATCGAAATCGGTGTCTCCGACACGGCCCCCTTCTCTCGAGTGAAACTGAAAGAGACCCAGACCCAGCGGTCCGACTCGGGCTCTTGGCGTGTTGACATCACCTTTATTGTGAACCCCACCAAGAGATTTGAGAATGAACCCGAGACCCAGATGCAGCAATTGAACCCCGGTTCTCGGCATCTCCGACACGGCGATCATGGAAACAGCCCAAGACAGAGAGAGACCCAGACCCAGGGATCAGACCTAGGGATCAGACCCAGGTGCTCGGCCTAGTGTCGCGAAAATCTCGTGCCAGGGTGACTCTGTGAGCCAGCGGAAATCGGATCTGTTTGGAGGTCTTTGAACTGTTTGGTGGAAATTTCACGTTCACATGGCAGGGGCCAGGTTCACTTTCTGTAAGGATGGTAACACTGCTGCCTAGGGGGAAGGGAGAGAGAGCGGAGGAGGAGGAGGCGGCGGTGGTGGAGGTGGGAGTTGATGGGTTGTGCAGTTATTTTGGCTTCGTTATTTTGCTGTTCTAAAATTACTCCCAATCAATCGCCATGGCTTGCGGTGCTGCTGTGCGTGCGTGTGTGAATGTGTGTACGTGCGCCCGGTTGTGTGCGAGTGTATCTGTGAGAGCGTGTGTCTGTGCGAGTGTATTTGTGCGTGAGAATGTGTATTTGTGCGAGTACGTTTGTGTGTGTGTGTGTCTTTTTTGAGTCTGGGTGTGGGAGCGGTAGTGTAGTGGTTAGCGCGCTGCGCTACAAACCCGGCGACCCGGGTTCGATTCCCATTCATGGCCAACACCGGTGACATATCTGCACGGGTCCTGGGCCTCTCCTAGGTTGACTCAGCCTAAAACCAGTACCTGGTGCGGTGTGTAAACATCGCCACTGGGGAGACAAAGGCGGTCGGGCGTGGTGCTGGCCATCCACCCGCTCGTGTGCTGTGCCAGCCTTCAAACGTGCTCGCCAATGGCATTTGCCCCAATAGTTTGTTGAAGGCTATCCGGGGGATCTTTGTCTTTGCAGTATGCGTGTGTGTGTGTATCTATAATCTGTCTGTTTTGTGCACGCGATATCGATACATATTTGGGTGTTTTAAATTTTGATTTAAAGCTTTCGTGACTGCAGGGATTCATATTCTTGGTTCTTTCGGTAAAGTCACCACGTAGAAGGGAAACAATAAAATAATACAAATCGAAAAGAATAAAATTCTCACGATGTTTCGACTGCAACACAAGCAATCATCATCAGGTGTGAAAACCACAGCAAGAAAATTGACTTTACCGAAAGAACCAAGAATATATATTTGGGTGTGTGTGAACTCTTGTCTTGAGTGGATGTGTGATATGTTTGTTTTTGTCTCTGAGGTTTGAGTGACACGAGGATGCCTGTGATCTTTGTGTGTGTGTGTGTTCTGATCTCAAGACTCTTGCAGGAGGGTCCTGCCAGGCTTTCCGTGTGTGTGAGCCGTGTTACCTGTGTGTGTGTGTGAGCCCTGTTACCTGTGTGTGTGTGAGAGCCGTGTTACCTGTGTGTGTGTGTGAGCCGTGTAACATGTGTGTGTGAGCCGTGTTACCTGTGTGTGTGTGTGTGAACCGTGTTACCTGTGTGTGTGTGAGCCGTGTTACCTGTGTGTGTGTGAGCCGTGTTACCTGTGTGTGTGTGAGCCGTATGACCTGTGTGTGTGTGAGCCCTGTTACCTGTGTGTGTGTGAGCCGTGTGACCTGTGTGTGTGTGAGCCGTGTGACCTGTGTGTGTGTGAGCCGTGTTACCTGTGTGTGTGTGAGTCGTGTGACCTGTGTTTGTGTGAGCCGTGTTACCTGTGTGTGTGAGCCGTGTTACCTGTGTGTGTGTGAGCCCTGTTACCTGTGTGTGTGAGCCGTGTGACCTGTGTGCGTGAGCCGTGTTACCTGTGTGTGTGTGTGTGTGAGCCGTGTTACCTGTGTGTGTGTGAACCGTGTTACCTGTGTTTGTGTGAGCCGTGTTACCTGTGTGTATGAGCCGTGTTACCTGTGTGTGTGTGTGAGCCCTGTTACCTGTGTGTGTGAACCGTGTTACCTGTGTGTGTGTGTGAGCCGTGTGACCTGTGTGTGTGAGCCGTGTTACCTGTGTGTGTGTGTGAGCCGTGTTACCTGTGTGTGTGTGTGAGCCGTGTTACCTGTGTGTGTGTGAACCGTGTTACCTGTGTTTGTGTGAGCCGTGTGACCTGTGTTTGTGTGAGCCGTGTTACCTGTGTGTGTGAGCCGTGTTACCTGTGTGTGTGTGTGAGCCGTGTTACCTGTGTGTGTGTGAACCGTGTTACCTGTGTGTGTGTGAGCCGTGTGACCTGTGTGTGTGTGTGAGCCGTGTTACCTGTGTGTGTGTGTGAGCCCTGTTACCTGTGTGTGTGTGAACCGTGTTACCTGTGTGTGTGTGTGTGAGCCGTGTGACCTGTGTGTGTGTGAGCCGTGTTACCTGTGTGTGTGTGTGAGCCGTGTGACCTGTGTTTGTGTGAGCCGTGTGACCTGTGTTTGTGTGAGCCGTGTTACCTGTGTGTGTGTGTGTGTGAACCGTGCTACCTGTGTGTGTGTGAGCCGTGTGACCTGTGTGTGTGAGTCGTGTTACCTGTGTGTGTGTGTGTGAGCCGTGTTACCTGTGTGTGTGTGAGCCCTGTTACCTGTGTGTGTGAGCCCTGTTACCTGTGTGTGTGTGTGAACCGTGTTACCTGTGTGTGTGTGTGTGAGCCGTGTGACCTGTGTGTGTGTGAGCCGTGTGACCTGTGTGTGTGTGAGCCGTGTTTCCTGTGTGTGTGTGAGCCGTGTTTCCTGTGTGTGTGTGTGTGAGCCGTGTGATCTGTGTGTGTGTGAACCGTGTTACCTCTGTGTGTGTGAGTCGTGTGACCTGTGTTTGTGTGAGCCGTGTTACCTGTGTGTGTGTGTGAGCCGTGTTACCTGTGATACCATCAGTAGGCCTGGGCTCTGGGTCGTTCTTCGTGCTTTTGGAGTACCTGACCCTCTGCTCACGATCATTAAGGACCTTCATGATGGTGAGCGGGCCCGGGTAAAACTACGTGGCCGGGAGTCAGAGCCATTCCCTGTACACCTTGGGGTGCGACAGGGATGTCCTCTGGCTCCCACATTATTTAACATCTATTTTGACCACGTAGTTCGTGAAGCCTTCAATAGCTGTACCAGGGGAATCTCCATATGGTACAGATATAATGGGAGGCTAATCGATGCCCGGGTGCGGTCAAGGGATGGCTCCCTATTGCTCAACCACGTTATGTATGCTGATGACTTGGTAATAGCTGCTCAGTCAGAGGAGGAGTTGGAGACGCTGCTGCTGAGACTGGAGCATGCCACTAAGAGGTGGGGCCTTACCATCAGCCCCACCAAAACTAAGCACCTGCCTGGGTATTTTGTACCATCGGACACTCCACCCCCACAACTCCCAATCGGTGATGGGGCAGTTGTGGAGAGAGTGGAGAGTTTCCCATACCTGGGCAGTGTGCTTATGACTGGCTCCAGTTTAACAGCAGAGGTCTCACTCCGAATCAGTCGAGCGGCAATATCTTTTCATCGGTTGCGTAACGCTGTGTGGAAGCTACCTGGTCTGTCGCTCCGCACTAAGCTTCAGGTCTTCTCGGCCACGGTCATTCCCTCCCTTCTCTATGCTTGCGAAACGTGGACCCCCCTAATGGAACATCTTCGCCGGTTAGAAACATTTAGGCTGGCCTGCCTACGATCCATCCTGGGTTTAACCAGACTGGATTGTGTGAGGAGCTCACAAATCCTTGAAAGATCTGGGCAGGGTCCCATCGGTGAGCTCCTCCGGCAGGCAAGGCTGCGATGGCTGGGTCATGTAGCCCGCATGCCCAGCCACCGCATGCCGAAACAGCTTTTGTTTGGCCGGATTGAGGGGGCTAAGCGGGCGCGGCACGGGCTAGAGAAGAGATGGAGTGATGTGGTACAGGAGGACGTGGAGCTGAGTGGACTTGCCGATGACTGGTACCAGCGGTGTCAAGATCGGCCTCTGTGGAGGAGGCTCGTGAAGGATGCTACTGGGCAGTTGGAGGCAGTCGCCCTCCAACAACAACGGAGGGCGGAGGAGCGACGCTCACAACAGCGAGCGGAGCGCCGGGTGGCTAAAGCACAGCAGGTTGGCACAGTAGGGGGCACAGGTGGTGCATCAGCCAGTCATCTCAGTCAGTCGACCCGTGGCACCTGGGTCTGCCCCGTGACCTCCTGCCAGCGGGCGTTCGACACTTCACGTGGCCTCAGGGTGCACATAGCCTGGCACAAGCGTCGTGGTGACGTCACCGCCACTTAGTGGCGAATGGCGGTTGTTGTTGTTGTTGTTGCCGTGTTACCTGTGTGTGTGTGTGAGCCGTGTGACCTGTGTGTGTATGATCCATTTGACCTATTTGTGTGTGAGCCTTCTGACCTGTGTGTATGTGTGTTTGTGTGAGCCTTCTGACCTGTGTGTATGTATATGCGAGAGCTGTGTGTATGTATCTTGAACGTCTTTCGCACCATACATAGCCAACCGTCGTGTGTGTGTGTGAGAGAGAGAGAGAGTGGTGTGTCCTGTGTGTGTGTGAGAACCATCTATGCAGCACACGTTGTTACTTATGGACCCACCGACCCTAATTCTCTCCCCGCCGCTGCCTCCGGTCAAATAACATTTCGTGGTGCTGCACAGCGATGGTCATGCGTTTTGATGTTGCAAACACGTCCAAGTATTATTGTTATTAAGCCGTTTTACCCGTTCCAAAGGAATGGTTAAGCTGCCTACAACCTCGCGGCTGTTCCCGACGACTCTCATTGTTATCATTGCACTTTACAGAGCGATGTGCGCGCGCGTGCATGTGCGTGTTTGTTTTCCCGTCAACGCGGGGTTCCGCACCTGAGCAGGGCGCCCCGCAAAGCGCCCCTCAGTCGGCGTCTGAGCGAGCGGTTGCGCGGCGAGGGGCGTGGACGGCGCCGGCCGGCGGTCCAAGCGAGCCGCCGGCCGGCGTCGCGGCAAACCGAGTCGCCGGCGGCCCCGCCAGCGACTCGGTTTGCGATCGGACCGAGTTGCAAGCAGCCGAGCCCTCGGGGGCGTTTGAAGCCGGCCACAATGCCGACGTCCGCGCACAAGCGACTCGACGCGGTTGCACCCGACCCCCGAGGGTTCGGGGCGAGAGGCCGGTGCGGCCCCGGTTGCGTGCGGCCCCAGTTGCCCGTGCGACCAAGTTGCTGCACGGCCGAGCTGCGTGCGACCAGGTTGCGCGGCCGTGTGACCAGGTTGCGCGGGTATGTAACCAAGTTGCATGCAACCGAGTTGCACGTAACCAAATTGCGTGCAACTGGCCGGCAACTTGGGTCCCATGCAACTGATGGCCCAGGCGTAGTCCCGGCTTAAGGTATATATATGTATACCTGCGAGCTCCGCCGGCGAATGTTAATTGGGATGTTTTATTCTCTCTGTGTTGGTGCTGGTTGTTGCCGCCACTGCGTGCGTTATATCCCCGGTTTGTTTATTTCTCCAGCGTCGTTCCGCCCTCTGGAGCGGCCTCTAGTGCAGGGTCTCTTCCTCCAGCAGTGGCCCGTGCGTAGGCGAGCACTCGCAGGGCTGCGCCTTTACCCCTCCTGCGTCAATAGTCGATCTCGGCTGTTCACTCAGCCTGGTTCAACCCCCCCCCCCCCCCCTCGTG